TTTGGGGTTGGAGAGAGACTAATTAATTGTATGGGAAAAAAACAAAACATTGCTATCAAAATCAACTTAAAATGGTTCAGGAAGGAGGTATGCCAGTAGACTAAGTAATTGAAATTGACTTGCTGTAATTTTTATTTTGAATATTTAACTGCAACTGCCTATGCTTAGAAACTGGCCTTCATGTTTTGTAGAGACTATAATTCCAGTGCTATAGATAAGGTCATGTGTGATTATTTACGCTATTGTTGACATCACCTAGACGTAACCAGAGACTACTTCTCGTCTGGTCTTTTATCATTTCCCAGAACAAAATCAGTGTCAACTGACAGGAGTGGTGGATACACTCAGAGTGTCTATTACCTGTTGTGATATGGGCTTAGCATACTTGGGTAAGAGAATCATATCATAGGGGTGTGGAAGTTTTAAAAAAAAACTTGTCCAAAGGATAAAATGCTAGAAAAATCTTTGTACTTCTAAAAACTTTACTTACCTCCTCCCTATTCAGAAAGCATGCACAAAAAAGAATTATTATTTTGAAAAATGCCACATATTCAGTTTTGCCATCTTGAGAAAATTAGTTTTTTCTGCAGTTTTTACAAAAATGTTTTTAAGTCAAGGCTTTTTTTTAAGGCTATTTATTACATAAACCATTAGGAATTATTATATGAAAGCATAACAAAATTGTAACTATTATTTCAAATTTTACAAAATCTATTTTATTTTTAGACCAAATGCTTTATATTCACAGGCCTTTATCCATGAATACAGTGGCACTGGCAGGTCAGTTTTGTCAGGAATGACATGTACCACATTTTGCATCTAACCATCTTAAATATATTCATTTATGATTTTAACAGGGTTGTGTTCAAAGATTTGTTCACAAGACAGCAATTCAAAGCTAGCTCTACACATTCAAAGGTTCGTCGGGTGGCATTAAAGCAGTTACAGATTTTTTTTTTCTTTTTAACAGTAATTGCATAATAAATGTGACTATCTTCTGCTTTCTTTAATGCCAATTACTTAAGCAAAAGTTATGGTAATAATACGAAAAAAATGTTATACATAGCAGCACCTTCCATGTATTAGAGCACGGGGAGGGGGGATGTATGTATGTATGCTCTGTTCAATAAATTGTGATATATAACACCGAAAATTTAAGGACTCTAGGTTGTCCATCCATGAAACTAAACTTATAAAAAAACCTCAATGTGATCTTTTTATCAATCAAATATTTATCAAGCTTTCCCTTAAATATACTGCATCCACGACATCTGAATGGAACCTATTCCA